TTTTCTTCTGTCTGCTCCCACTATGTGATCTTCTAGCAGCTGCAGCAATTCATCCTTATCCCAGGACAAAGATGCTTACACAGATGTGGTGTCAGCAGGAGAGATGGACCCTTTGGCTCCAGACCCACTAGATGGCCCCTCCCTTGGAGTAGAAGTGCTCACACCTCAACAAAAACCAAAAACACCTTTGAGTTGTACCTAAAGCCAGTTAAAATTCCTAAACCCCAGCCTACTCCTAAACCCTTCCACCTGAATCAAAACTAGGTCTTTTCGTTGTGCACAGAGCCAGCCTGATCTCTCTCTCTCACTGTTAACCTCTCCTTGAGGTTAACTTGCCCAATGAAAACTCTGACTGTGTGTTCCTATCCCCTGACCTGGTTTTCATTCCTGTTGTCACCGGGCAGAAGTTGCCAGCTCCTGCATCAGAATGTCCAAGAAACTGTGAGATAATTACAAAAAGTATTTAAAAGAGAAGAAAYATTTGAAATGATAATAACTAAGAATACCCCCCAATTATTGACAGATCCCCAAACTATTGAACCAGAAATCTTGGAGAACACCAAGTGGGATAAATGACAAAACAAAACAGAGAAACAATAACTGGGTAATAGTGCTGTTTTCCTAGAGTCCCAAGAAGGCTGAGAGGGAGGAGGAGTCCTTGAGCCCAGGAGTTCAAAGCCAGCCTGGACAACAGTGAGAAACCATCTCATGGGAGAGAAAAAAAAAAAATTCTATGTAGGCACATATCATATTGTCACTGTAGAAAATTAAAGACAAAGAGAAAAGCCTGAAATAAAGCAAAGGGGGAAAATATCTTACTTATAGAGGAAATAGGATAAGAATTACTCAGAATTTTCACTTCTTCTGTCAGATTGGAAAATTGTATTTTGATCCCTTTCTCCATTTTATACAATCGTCTAATTTAATTGTGTAATTGTTTGTTAAATTCTCTCTCTCTCTCTCTCTCTCTCTCTCTCTCTCTCTCTCTCTCTCTCACACCCCCTCCCTCCATCCCTCCCTTTTCTAGTTCTGGAGACTGAACCTAGGGCCTTGATCACGCTCAGCAAGTTTACTGAGCTATAGGACACTCTAAATCTTTTTTCTCTTTAATATCTATAAGATTTGTAGAGACGTTGTCTTTTTTATTCATTATATTGGTAATCTTTTCTCTCTCTCTCTCTCTCTCTCTCTCTCTCTCTCTCTCTCTCTCTCATCAGTCTCTCCGGGGTTTTATCAATTAGTATGTTAATTTCCTAATTCAATTATTTCTGCTGTTATACTTCTTTTCAGTTTCTTTAACATTGATCCACTTTTTGGGTACAGTGGTGCACATCTCTAATTCCAGTGGCTCTGGAGGCTGAGGTAGGAGGGTCCCGAGTTCAAAGCCAACCTCAGCAACATCGAGGTGCTAAGCAACTCAGTGAGACCCTGTCTTTAAAAATAAATAAATAAATAAATAAGTAAATATTGATTCGCTGTTCTTTTCCTAACTTTCTGAGATGTAAATAATTGATTTGTAGCCTTTACTATTCGATAAGACATACTATTATAAAAAAAAAAAGACATACTATTATGGCAATAAATTTCCTCTAAGCATTGCATAAGCAATTCATTAATCTCAATATCATATCTTCATTAACAACCTGTTAAAATATTTTCTAGTTTCTCTTTTTCTTGTTTGACCCATAAATTTTTTAGAAATATAGCTCTAAGGTATTTGGGATTTTTTTGTAATATTTTTAGTATTGGTGGTTTAATTTCAGTTTAGTCATAATGTAATCTCTTTGATTTTAATCATTGGAAATTTGACATTCTACTTATACTTGAAAACAATGTGTCTTCTATTGTCGGGCACAGAGTTCTATCTATTTCAATGTGGTCAGATTTGTTGTGTTGTCAGATCTTCTGTATCTCTGTTAATATTTTTGTCTATTTGTTTTATCAGCTATTAAAAAGTAGGGTAAAGTTCTTCACAATAGTTGTGAAGACTTTTAATATAGTCAATTTTTGCCTTATATAGTTTAAAGTTATGCTATTGGGTGGGTGCATACAAATTTATAATTCTGAAATCTTTTTGCTAGACTGACTTCTTGATCATTTTTCCTTTTTTTTTTTTTAGGTGGGGGGGTGTATCATGGATTGAGCCACTGAACCATATCCCCAGCCCATTTTATTCATTTTTTATTTAGAGACAAGGTCTTGCTAAGTTGTTCAGGGCTTTGCTAAGTTGCTGAGGCTGGCTTTGAACTTGTGATCCTCCTGCCCCAGACTCCTGAGCTGCTTAGATTGCAGGTGTGCACCACCACGCCCAGCTGACTTCTTGATCTTTATGCAGTGCCCCTCTTTACCTTTTTTTTTTTTTAATGCTTCTTGCCTTAGGTATTTGTATGATATTAGTGTAACAATACTAACTTTATCGGTCAGATTTTCAAGGTGTTATCCTGTCGGTTCTTTTGCTTTCAACCTTCCTGTGATTTTATATTTAAAGGCTACCTCTTGAGGGCAGTGTATAATTTAAAAAGCAACTTTAAGACACTTCTGGGTTCAGAATTCTAGGTTGTCAGTTGTTTTCAGCACTTTAGATGTTATTTCATTGTCATCTGGATTCCATTGTTTCTGTTGAGAAAGGACCCCTTAGATTAGTGGTTGATACTTTATTCCTCTCTGGAAGTTTCTAAGATTTTCTCATTATTTTTTCCTTCCCCTTAGTTCAACAATGAGGAGCTTATGTGTGTCTGTGTTTCAAAAACGGAACTGTAGACTTTCTTGGGATTTTAGGATTTTCCCATTAATATCCTTTCCGTCTCAAGATCCAATCCAGGGTTTGATACTGCATTGGTTTTAAGGTTTACATAGTTTCCTTGGATTTACGATTTTCTCAGCCTTTCTTAATTTTTCATGACACTGACAGTCTAGAAAAATAGTGGCCACATCATCCTGTTGAATATCCCACCATCAATGTTTGTCTGATGTTTTTTCTCGACTCAACTGAGATTATGTGGCTTGAAAAAAGAATATCAGAGAAGTGCCCTTCTCATGTGATTTCATTTGGTCTTGTGTGAGATTTAACGAGCTTATCAAATCTGTGGGTTGATAAGCTTCATCAACTTTGGCCTCTTAAATACTGACAAAAGCCATGCGGCCCCAGACTTTGGAGCATCACGTCTCTGCCTGCCCCTCTTGATCTAGCATGCTGATCCAAGGTGCCTGAGAGAACCAGAGAGCAGATCTGTACCCCAACTGCAGCTTGGAACCAAGTCACCCTAAACCCAATGCTCATAGTTTTAATCCACTGAATTGGAGGTGTGCTTCCTTATGGTAATAGCCAACTGATGCAGACCAGAAGCATCTCACAGATCCTTCTCTCTCCATCCCAAGTAATTGATTTGGGAATCTGGTGCTTACCTATCTTTCCCAAGTCACAGGTGTCCTCCACTATTCCAACACCTCCTCTTCTTTCCCTCCCTGTGGTCCAAGAGTAAAAGCATAGCCAGATCTGGAGGGCCACTATGAACTCTCTTGTTTCTCTCAGTAAGTTGCACGGTGGGTCCATGGTCCATCCACCAGCAAGGATCACCTTAGGCCCAGTCACTCCCTGAGGCTTGAGAGACAGGGAGCATCTGGATAGATGGGCTTATATTTCCCAAGGGAAGTGGCATAGGAAATGTTGAGCCTTTAGATATAGCAATTTTGTTTGTTTTGTGCAGGTTTTTTTTTTTGTTGTTGTTGTTGTTGTTTTGTGTGTCAAGGTGTATGATGAGGTGTAAATAGGATGGTGCCGGGCAAATTGTAACACAGATGTATTTTTTTTTTTTTACACAGTGAAAAAGTTACAAAAAGATAATCAAAGCAATTCTCCAAGAGTCTTACTTCTACGTATGAAATGATTTAGGTAGACTGTCTTAACTAGCAGTGAACTGTCATGTAGCAAAATAACAGTAGGTCGTTAAGTATGAAACAAATTGAGTTTTATTTAACAATAATATTAAACACCGTACATTAGTTCTTGACCTTGTCATTTTGCTGATTGCCTATGTATGAGTCTCAGGTCCCCCCCCCCCCCAGAGTCAGGCTGTAAGCATATGATGCCAGTCTTCCATCTTCTACCCCTCTGAGATCTTGCCCACATTTCTAGTGAACTTGTGAGGATGCCCAAAATGTGTATCAGTCCATGGAGCGTGATGGAGTGGGGGGAGCACTGGGATTACCTGATAGAGAAGAGGGTGAAGGGTACAGCACCTGAGAAGCCCTCCTCGGAAGCTGACAAAGGCAATTCCTTCTTTGGAAGGTACAACAGCTCACTCCTTACTCCCTCTCTGGGGCGGTAAGGAGTTCTGCCTCATCACGAACGGGGATGGATTGAACAAGGAGCATCCCAGAGGCAGCGTGAGCATGCCAATGACCAAGGACAGGGGAATCATCATTGAGAGGGGAAGTCTCCAATCTTTGCTGAGCAACTACCACAGCGAGGCACTGGGCTAGGTGGTTTGTGGACAACTCTTCTTTTTTTTTTTCCAAACCCTTTCCAGAAGTTTAATTTCCCCTCCCATTTAGTGCTAAGGAAATGAAACTCAAAAGAAGTTATTCACTTCCTTTGGTCCTTTAGCTAGAAGGTAATTGAACCACTACTCAATTTAAGCTTGTCTTGTCTCCCCAGGATCTCACATCCAGAAAGGGGTTCAAGAGAGCATCTGTCCTAAGTCCTGGAACCAAACAGGTCAAATAGTAGTGCTGTTTTTTTCAGAGAGTCTGAGGAACTTAACTAGAGAAAGGTATGTGTGAATGTGCACACGTTTCTGGGGTGAGGGGTGAGGGGGAGACAGGACTGAAGGTCAAGTCCAGAAAAGTCTCATCTACATTTCTCCCACCTGTGCTCCAGAGTAGAGAGGATGGGACTCCAGACACAGGACTCCCCGGGTCTTTGACAAAGCAAGGGTGGGCCCAGCCAAGGGTTAGGAGAGGAGCCCTAAATAGAGGCTCCTCTGGAGTGCTAGAGAATCAGATCACCCATTGGAGGGACTCTCACCCATCCCTCTCCCTCTGCTGTGAGGAATCTGAGAGGCTAGGTGTCCGGGCTCCTTCCTGAGACCCCAGAGACCTTCTACCACCACACCTTAGGCCCACTGCAGGTCCCTGGCACAGGGCCACTCCGTTCTCTACAGGAGTAACTTCTGGGAAGAGGAGTCCATAGTGGTTGCCTCGGCTTTCTGTTCAGCCTGGTGCCGCGGTCACACTAGGGCAGAGCTCCGCTGAAAGTCATGATGGGCAGGCAGAGGAGGGAGCAGAGGTCGGGTGTGGGCTGGTCCAGCAGGTCAGGGGATTTCTGGGGTGGTAGGCCTCTCTTCTCTGGCTTGTAGCATGGTGACACCTCACACCTGGGGGGCAGGGCAGGGGTAAGTGCAGGTTGAGATCTCTCCAGGTCTTCCCAGGCCTCCTGGGTAGAAGAGAAACCAATCCCCTTTCCGGGACCCCGTTTTACTACAGCTGAGCTTCTCCACCATTTCCTACCTGACCACACTCTGCAGGATCTTTCTCTCATCCTGGTCTAGACACACGGCAAAAGGGCAGCCACTGGAGCCAATGATCTGTACCTTGTCCACTTTAATCTGTGATGTGCTAATCTGGAAGGGAAGCAAGGGTCAGACCTGGGAGCCTTAGCCACACAACCTCAGTAGTTCCTTCCCCCAGAACTGCCCATCAGGCCTGGAGGAGTAACGGACAGGAGTTTGGATGGAAGTTCTCCAGAGCCAACAGTCRGGTCAGAGGAGGGTCCTGAGGCCTCCATCAGCCCCTGCCTCCTCTCTGGCCTCTTTCCTGAGTCTGGAAGAAGTGCTCTCTGGGGAGATGGCACTGCCCTCTATACTGTGAGAGCCCTAGTGTTCCCTGAACAGGGTACACTCTGCACTGGACTCAGGGATTCCAGGACCACACAACCTTTCCACATTCACATCCTCTCGAAGGGCACCCTTCTCTCCCAGACACCCATGACACTGCATACCTCTGCATACCCCAAGCCAAAGCTCTCACTTGCCTCTCCTTTCCCATCTACAGGCCCAGCCAAAGACACTCTTTCTCTCTCTCTCTGACATACAGGTGTACATGCGTACATTCTCATACATACACACACACACACACACACACACACACACACACACCCCAATACGCAGGAACTCGGGCACACTGGAGGGAGAAGGAAGCTCTTACCTGGTTAAAACCCTTCTTGGATTTGGGGTTCTGCCTTTTCACTACTTCTGTTAGGGTTAGCGTCAGCGCCTCCATACTGGAGTCTGAAGGTCAAGGGTGGCTCAGGTCAGGCTCAAAATCCCTCCCTGCCACGCCACTCCACCCCACCCACCCCACCCACCGCACTCACCTAGCTCCTCCTGCTTCTGGCAGGCCTTGTTGAGGTTGACAGAGGTGCAGACCTTCTCCAGGTTGCTCCAGCGGCTTCTTCCACTGATGGCTCCCTGGAAATGCAGCACAGCCAGACCCTCTCAGCCCACAGAACCCTGTGCCTGCTGCCTTGGGAGGCTCTAGAGGCCACAGGAGAGAGCTGTCCGCTCTCTCCTCTGGACATCTTTTCTCAGCACCTAAGGGAGCTTGCTGCAGGAGTCTGAAGGTCAAGGGTGGCTCAGGTCAGGCTCAAAATCCCTCCCTGCCATGCTACCCCACCCGACCCAACAACCAATAAGTCCTGCTCTGGGACCAAGCTCTGGTGGAGGATCAGCAGCAGATCCCCGGAGGGCATCGGTCTTACCTTGCTGTAAACAATCTGTAGTGTTAGAGGGACGGCCTCCCGGTCGCCATCGATGCCCAGCCGCTTGCTGCCAGGACCTGTGCCACACACAGCCTTCACTGTCTCTTCTCCCAAGGCCCCGCCCCCACAAGGCCCCGCCTCCCAGGAGGCGGCCTCATTTTAGCCCCGCCCCCAGGCCACGCCTCCCCACCTGCCTCCCCCCTGGGCTCCTGCAGTTCACACCTGAAGCCTTGATAGCTCGTGTGGCCGCAGAGTGACCAAGCTCCAGGGAGTGGATAAAGATCTCCGTCGTCTTCTCCCCAGTGTCGAAGGTCAGCTTGGAGAGGGCAGGAGCACGGGCATTAGTGTGGACCTCTGTGCGGGGAGGTCCCACCCGACTCCTCCAGTCTAGCTGATGGCAGCAGGTGGGAGTGGGTGGGGGCCCAGCACGACATAGCCTGGGACTTGGCGATGCGGACCCTGACTGCCAGGGAGTGAGGGTAAGGAGATGGAATGGGCAGGGCAGACCTTACCTCCGTCTGATAGACCTGCAGCAGTACCGGCCGGGCAGCGAAGCGGCAGTAGTAGAGCAGCATGTCAGCCAGGATGGGCAGCTGGGCAGGGGAGCCCTCCAGGGGCCGGGACTCAGCCTTCAGGGAGTGCTGTGGCCAGGGGGGGAAGCCAAGCCAGAGGCACAAAGAGACAGAGACCCAGAGAGAGAGGTAGTGGGAGGAAGAGAGGAAAAGACACACACAGGCAGAGAGAGGAGAGATTCAGAGGCGGAGGGAACCGGGGTGGGGGGTGGGGGTGGGAGAGAGAGGGTGAGAAAGAAGCTGGAGGGGCTGGCTGGGGAGCACCATGCAGCCTCACACCCTCCTCATCTGACACATAGGCCTCCATGAGGCCCCTGACCAACCTGGACAAGCCAGGAGTTGAGGAAGGAAACTTCCTACTCTTTTTAAGTAAGCCCTGGAAGCCGAAAGCAAACCCAGAGCCTTCTAAGTGAGGCTCGGTGACAATAGCCAGTAGGTTCCCACCCCAACCCCAAGGGCCACTTACCTGGCACAGGACTTCAGGTGGCAGGTGCATGAGGCCCAGCACATTGCGCTCATACCAGGGGTCAAGCATGCCAAGGTAGTGGGAGATGTCATTTGTGCTGTCCTCCCATGGGGGTGTGCCCAGCTCCTGAGGTAAGGGACAAGAGTCATTCCCAGCTACCCAAGAGGCCTGTGTCCATCTTTGCCCTGAACCACACCTGAAGCCCCCAGCTAAGATTTTCCTTGCTCTTGGAGAAGTATGACAACTTTTGTCTTTGTCATATGGCAAAATGATGTACCCAAGTGCAGGCAGGAACCTGGGAGTGCGGGTCAGGCAGAAGGTAGTGCCCTGGACACACAACTGATGGCTTAGGCTGACTCCCAACCAGCTCCCTTTAGGTACCTAGAACCTGCTCACATCCACTTTCCCACCCTACTTGGCTGGGGACTGGGGACATACTGGTGGGTTTGGCTGCCTCGGGGAGTCTGTGGGGAGTGGAGACATCTGGCTCGGACGGGCTGGGCAGGCACCCGAGCCAGTTGCATGGCTTCGCTTCACAGGCACATAGAAGAACTGCAGCTTGAACAGCCGTGTGAGGAGCGGGCGATTGTTCTCCAGCCTCCTGGTGAAAAGAAGATGGTGAGAAGTGAGTCCTTGGTGGCTCTTGGATACTCATCTTCTGGTTTCCACTAGAAGAACACAGAGCAGAGCCATGTGCCCTGGKATGGGTCTTACCGGAGGTTACTATATGCCCTAGCCACTTTCCCTGAAACCCTGTCGGAGCCAAAGACCACAACCCGAAGTGTGGATGCCTTGGGGTCCTCATCCCCACTCAGGAAGGGGCGGCGGCGCTGGTGGCATGGGGCAGGGGCCAGGAGCCAGCTGGGCAGCTGGGTGCTGAGCTTGGGCTGGGGCAGGGATCGTGAGCGCTGTGCCCGGGAGGGGGGAAGTGTCGGGCTGTCCAGTGGGCTGCAGAGGCTCCCCGCCCTTCGCAGGGGCAGGGCTGTGTCCGAGCCACTCTCTAGGCCCCGAGAGTTCCTCCGCAGTACCAGCTGGCTGGTGCTCTTGATGATTTTATAGATTTTGTTGAACTTTTGCCCAGGCCTGCGGTGGCCCTTGCATTCCTGGCTACCAAGCCTCTTGGGCCACTCGGAGGAGCTCTCCTCACTGTCCTCCACATAGCCACTGTCCATGCCATCAGAGAGGCCTGAGACAAAGGAGGTCAGCAGATGGCGGGAGAGCTCTGGCCCTGAGGCCTGAGAGGAGGCAAGAGACAGGGTGGAGTCATGGGACACCAAAGAGTTCGTGGAGAGCAGTGAGTCCCTCTCAGCACAGTGTCCATCAGTTTCCAAGTCCTCCTCCTCCTCCTCCTCCTCTTCTTCCTCTTCTTCGTCATCCCCCAGGATCCCTGGCTGCAGCAACTCCTGTTCCTTGAGTAGGATTTCCTGTAGGATATCTACAGGGAAGAAAGGGCAGTGTCTGGGTGGGTGGCCCTAGAATCATTTCTGAGGGAAAGGCTCTGGCAGGTTTGGGGAGGAGCAGGAAGCAGGGGCTGGGCCCTGTTAGGACTCAGTGCTGCCCCCTGCTCTGCTTAGGGTCTTTGAGGGTCCATGGGGAGAGGGAGAGGGCAGCAGTACAGATGCAGGACCACAAAGAGCTCACACAGAGTGGTGGGCAGGTGCCCCAGGGTCCAGCCAGCTCCTTACCAAAGCTGTCCTGGTTCCAGCTGTAGGTATAGCACCTGGCGACAGGGATGGGGATGGTGTGGAGCTTCCCGGGTTTTGCGGTGTCTGTAAGAGGAGTGAGGGCAGGAGAAGAGGACTGAGAAGGGGTCTTGGAGAATATCCAGCCCAGACCCTTTGACTTAGAGAAAAGACCAGAGTTGGGGTCAGACTGGCACAGAGCCATACACCTGGACAGAGTGAGGCCGAGTTAGAGCCAGCATGCCTGGCTCCCAGCCAGAGGGCTCTTCTTTGAAGTACAACTGTATAAAGCCATGCACTTGATTAGCTGGGTGGATATGGCCACCTCACAGCCCCTGAGCCTCCTTTTACCATGTCCCAATGGGAAAAGAATAGAACCATCTTCAAAGGTTTGTATGAGAAATATTGTCATGGAAACTGCTAAGTGTTTCCTCAAATCTGTGCTCCCTTATTGGAAGAATTGTAGAGAGGGCATTTCCCAGGCTCCTTGGGGGCACGTGTGGCCATGTTTCACAGGTGGGTGAAGGGGTACATGTGGAAGTGATGCATGCAGCTTCTACAATACCTTTAACAAAACAACCAAGCCCCAGGACCCCAGCAGGCATGATCTTTTCTTTTTCCTACAAGATGCCAACATGATAGCAAGCCAACCCTGCACCTGCAGGCAGATCCATACCCTAAGGGATGGTGGAGCAATAAAAAGCAGAGCCATCAGCCCACTGACCTACAGCCCCTGGGAGATAGAACAGGTGATAGGGAAAGAGAACAAAGCCCCCCTGAACCCAGAACCTCACCCAAGACCTCAGAGAAACCAGCTTTCTCTCCCACCGCCTGAAGCTTCGTCCTGAGCCACTTCCGAGCCTCGGTTGCATTCCCAGCTTCAGATGCCTGCTCCTGTGCCTCAGCAACCTCTGTGAAGATGTCCTCAAGCTCTGCCAGGGTCTTGGACTGAAAAGTCCAGGAGAGATGAGGTTTGCTCCTGCCCAGTTGCCGGGATACCTGCTTTTTTTTCCCCCCCCTTCCTAGGGTCTTGACCAAGGCAGCCGCCACCAGTCTGCACTCTGGTCTGACTTCCCACCTCTACCATGGCTGGCCAGGGAGCTGGGCCTCCCCCTGCCTCCTCTCTACTCTCAGGAAATGGTCAGGAGAGAGAGAGGCCCAGAGGCAGGATACTTCAGAGCAGGAAGGACTTTAGACTGTTCACTGCACCCAGAGAAGAGAAGGGGCTGTCCAGGGTGGCACAGCTGACTGATCACAGAGCCAGAACTAAGAACCAGGTCTCAGTCAAAAGCCCATTCCCATTCCTGGTGCCTTCTTCTGAGGCACCAGGCATCAGCACCCATTCCCATTACCCAGGGTGCCACCTAACTCTGGCCAGGATCTAGTCATTGTCTTGCCATGTCACTCAGAGTAAGGGAGGCCAGGGTATACCAGAAGTCTGCAGCTGAGATGGAACAGAGAGGGAGCTGTGCCTCTCAGGGGAAGTGCCAGAAGTCACCAGAGCCCCAGGGTCCCAGGCCCATACCTGCAGCCTGCAGTGCAGGCCAGGGAGGTCACAGTGGGCACCAAAGATAGCCTGGAAGGCATGCAGGAGCAGGGTGGTGTAGGTGCTGTGGGGTGAGTGCGCGGGTGCGCTCAACTTGTCAGCCACGGCAAGGAACTCAGCCTGCACCTCCACTGGGTTCAGCAACAGCACAGTGCTGGAGACACAGAGGACCAGCTGTGAGACCTGGGGTGTGCCACAGGCCAAGGCACAGCCACACACCTTGCCCTGCAGAGCTCAGAGCTCAGCTCTGCAGAGGCCTGGGCCTCCTCACAGCCCAGAATGGCTTGAGCAAGCAATAGCAGGAGACCAGGAGAGAGTCCTGGAGGGCTCAAGGGTCCCATTGCCAAGAGGAAGGCTTGTGGTCTACTTTAGAGTATCTTTCAACTGGAGCTTTCAAAGACTTTCCAAACTGAACTTAATTTTTAAAAATGAATCTTATCTTTTTTATATAAACATTTCCCCCCATGGGACATATAGGAGGATGCACATTATTCAAAAGAGGATGGTAGTTCTGTCCAGGTGACTTGAAGCCCATTGACCATTTTGAGGGGGAGAGGGGAGCAGGGCAGCCACATGTTTTCTGGCTAAGGCAGGTAGGGCCTGAAATTCCTCATGGAGTGGGGCAGCATCTGCCCATAGGAAGGGGTGCCAGTGAGGGCTTCATCTGATTCCTTCTCTCATGGGGACATGTTTTCAAATTAGCCCAAAGCCATCATGCAGGCTCACATTGGGCTAAGGGGTGGGTATTGGCTCAGCCACCTCCACCTCTGTTCCCACTGGATATCTGGGTTTCCTCTTGGTGCTAGAGTTTAAATTTCTTTATTATGGAGACTTTTAAACATACCCAAATGTTAGGGAGACTCACAGACCATCAGATACTGATGGTCAACACGTGGCCTTCTCATTTCCCCCGTGCCAAGCCCTCCATGACTGCATGATCTTAGAGCAAATTTGAACCATGGTAATAGTCATAATATAATCATAAGTTTCTTCTTATCCTACAATTCCAAGTTATTAAAACTCAGAGCAAAGAAAAACTATGTAAGCAGGGTTCCCTGCAGGCTTTGTGGATGTCTGTCCCAGAGCTGAGTCCCAGGGTCAGTGCAGAGAGACAGAACAGAGTCTCCATCAACTAGACAGAAAGTTTTTGATTTATCCCCATTTTTTCAGGAAAAGGAGGCAGGCTCTCATAAATGGCATCTCCCTTGCTGAGTGCTTGATTTTTTCCTATGCTCCCCGAACACCACCACCACCCCGCCATGGGCATGTGCTAAGCCTCACTATTTGAAGGGCAAGACTGAGATCCTGCATGATTTCATTGTTCAAGAACTTTTTCATCATTTTCAGTTTATAATTAATGAAGTGAGACCATCTCCCAACCCTAAGCTCTTCCCACTAACCTCTCTGTTCCCTTATCTGAAAAACACCTTTCTCACAGGATTAACATGAGGATTAAATGGATTAACACATGTGAAGGTAGTTCCCAAAGCCCAGTAAGTACCTTAAAGGTATAGGAGATTATTCACCAGCCCACCAGCCTACAGCCCACCTGCCGGTAGTCCACCCCCATCCCCACCATTATCTACAGTTTTGTTTACCTATAGTCAATCATGCTCTGAAAATATCAAATGAAAAATTCCAGGAGTAAGGGATTCATAAATTTTAAATTGCATACCATTCTGAGTAACATGTTGAAATCTCGGACAGTCCAGCTGCAGCCCATCTGGGACATAAATCATTCCTTTGTCCAGCACAGTATATACTACCTGCCCATTAGTCACTCAGTCGCTGTCTCAGTGATCACTTAGATTGTCATGGTATCATGTGTTTGTGCTTAAGGAACCCTTATTTTACTTAATATTGGCCCCAAAGCACAAGATTAGTGATGCTGAAAATTCTGATATGCGAAACCCACCACAAAATGTTTCCTTTAAGTGAAAAGGTGAAAGTTCTCAGCACATATAGAGTTCAGTACTATCTGCAGTTTCAAGCATTCATTGCATGCCTTAGAATGTATCCTTTGCAGATAAGAGGGGGCTACTATATGACATTTTTATGTCCTTTCTGTCTCAACATCTACCCTAGACTTTTTTATTTGCTCGTTTTTACCCATAAGTGTTTCAACCACCTCAAGAAGTATTTGCTCAATGTGAAGTGAACCCCTAGGTTGTGGAGTGGGAGGGATGGGGCAGCTAAAATGCCTGAGTTGGTGGAGGTCAGGGTCCCTGGGTTTGCAGCATGTCAAAGTGAGATGACGATGAGACAGAACCCACATAACTTTGAGATCTCCAGAGATCCTCAGAACGGATACCTCCATTCTGATGCTTTTCAAACTGCAGGCCAGAACCCAGGAGTGGGTTAATGCAATGGGTTTGGGGAGTCACAACAGAACTTGTTATTTAAATAAAATAGTGCCAAATAGGACAGAGCTCATCCTAGATAACAGGGGTAAGTTTCAGTTCATGAAAAATGTTTCAGCTCTCTCTGTGTGCCAGACTATCATAGAAGAATGTATTTTTTAAATTGTATATCCTGGTCAAAAGAGTTTGGAAAACACTGTTTTAGTGACAGTTGAAAGACACTGTGGAAAGACCTTGGAGTAAGACTGAGGCTCAAATCCTGGCCACACACTCACTAGTTATGTGACCTTGGGGAAGCTATTTGGCTTCTCTGACTTCCAGGTTCCTCTTCTGAAAAGTAGGGATGCATGAGGTAATGTGCAGCCAATACCTGGCATGACGGATGCAGACCCCTTTCAAGAGTCTGCAAGAAGACCCTCTTCCCAGAAAAATGAAGTTATACACAAAACATCACCAGCAACTTCAGAGGGTTCTTGGTCCCCTTGAAGTCTGTTATTTGGTGACTAGGGTGGGAAAAGGTGCAATGTTGGAGAGGATGCCAGATGCCAGGGAAGAGAGGATGGTGAAAGGGTGGGAGGTCCTCTTCTGGTTTTCCCCTGCCCCAAGAAAACTCACACAGTGGAACTTCGTTGACTCCTGATGGACAGACCCTGCTCGGACCGTACCAGTCTCTGGTAGGAGATTCCTGTGGGCCAAGAACAAAGAAAAAAGAGTTCATGGCTGATCTCTTCCTTTAGCAATGATGTCCTCATGACCAGTCACTGGTCAGTCAGGTCAGAAGTTCCTGTGGATGAGGCTCAGGAGAACCCTGGGTAAGAGAGCTGCTGTTTGGACCTTCCATGTGCCTGGTGTTTACCTCTGTGTCATCCTTCACAAGTGATCACTTACCCCGCCTTTGTGACTCAGCCTCCAGCCCCCAAATCCATCCTGAGCCTCACCAATTTTGGGGGGCTTTCTACCCTGGTTGCCCCTCCATCCAAAGGGCTGCCCAGTCCCCTCTCAGCYAGTCTGCCCAGGCCCTGTCCCCAGGCAGGGGGGCAGCCTGGCAGGGAAGAAAAGGATCCAGGGCTGGAACCCTGGTCAGAAGCCTGAGTTCTATCCTGACTCTTCCACATGACGTTGGACAGGTCATTTTACCTAGGGATCTTAGTTCCTCATGTGAGGGGTAGCTTAGATGGGTGGCCTCTGAGGCCCTAAACAGTCTATGTTTCCTAAGCCCCACCTGGGATCCACCAGCCTATAACATTAGAGATCATGAGACAGAGCATCCTGGGAGGGGGAGCCTGGGCACAGAAGGCTGTGGAATCACACACTACCCAGGTGTTCCTGGGTCCCCGGCACCAACCACCACAACCCATGGTCCTGGTGGGTATGCGTCTCAGGCATCTCTCGGTCCCCCAGCTCATGTCCAACATCCACACCTCTGCCTGGCTTCCTACACCCCTTGGGCAGCTACTGCCTTGCCTAATGCTACTTTCTCTGAAGTCTGAGCCCCGCTCTCCTCCCAGCTTACATCCCCTCCTCTCCAGCCTCTTGCACCTCTCCCTCTCCTGTGACTTCAAACCCCCCTGGGAAGAAACCAACCAAACATTTTCTGGTTTTTCCTGCCACGTGACTCAGTTGGACAGTATCTCTTTATTTAGTTCTGTGTCACCCGTAATGAGCTTCAACAATCCACTCTCCCACAGACCAAGGGAAACAGAGGCCAGGCTGGGGCTGTGGGGAGCAGGCCACCCTCTTATCAGAGGTTGGAGGTGGTCACAGGGAAGTCCCTGTGGGGAGCAGGCCACCTGGGTCTGGGGTTGAACTATGAAGCCAGAGGGACATGTCCTCTGATACACAAGCCAAGATCAGGGATACAGCTATAAACATCAAGTCCATGATTTTTGTTTAGTAAATGGCAGAAAATTGCCAAATCACGTTCTTCTACCTTGGGACTGAATGGCCTTGGGTGTCAGTCATTTAGATGATGTTGAATTGACGTAACTGGCACATGAGTCCGAGTTGATGTTCTATCTGTGTGGTGCTAAGTCCCTGAGATCATACTGTCACTCTCAGGATTTGGGACACCATCTGGTGGCTGCTCACATACATTACAGGAAAAAGCTCCACTTGAACCTCCCCCACCCAGTAGAATACAGTGGAGACAAATGGATAACACCCTGCCCCAGTCTCCCTGACTGCAAAACACATGCATAAGATAAATCTCCTAACTTTATTTCTCTTTTCTTTTACCATTTATTTTCTTTTCTCTTTCTTTCTTTTCTTTCTTTCTTTTCTTTCTTTCTTTCTTTCTTTCTTTCTTTCTTTCTTTCTTTCTTTCTTTCTTTCTCTCTTTCTCTCTTTCTTTTTCAGTGCTAAGGATAGAACCCAGGGCCCAGCCCATGCTAGGTAATTTCTCTACACTGATCTCCATCCTCAGCCCTGTTTATTTATTTATTTTTAACACATAGCCCACATCCCACTGACCTCTCATCTCCACCCCCAACTCTGCCTCTGTCGACCCAGGACATACAGCTGGTCACACTCTGGGGAGGAGCAGGCTGTGAAGTCACTCTCCTCCCACATCAGGTTTCCTTCAAAATGCTTCAGACCCCACTTGCTCTCCCAGAGCTTACCGGGATTACCCCTGTCCCCCAATACAACCGCTCAGTCTTAACCATCACTCTTCCTGGGATTCTGTCTATGGAGTGTCTACGGATTCTGCTCCTCTGTAGCTCCGTCATGAGAAACGTCCTTTAATCTCTTACATCCCTATCCCCACGTATCTTGGGATATTGTCCTAGCCTTATTTTAGGATGACAGTACAGTTAGAGCTGGGGGTTGCTCCCTATTCCCTGTGTGGACTCCCCGTAACGGCGTGTGTGGGGTTTTTTTGCTTCATTCTTGGGGGGCTATGTGAAAGGGAACCTGCAGCACACCCTGACCCAGAGGAAGCCGTTTTCAGAGCTGGTTGGCCTGGCGAATACCCAAGACCTCAGCCGTTGCCAAGTGGAGCATACAAAAATCATCAGACAAAACCCCCAACCCCACCCTGACGACCCCATCAAGTCCCCTCTCTTGGTAATGGCCTCAATGCTCATCATGGGGGGTGGAGTTTGGGGGGATGACTGGAGGAGCTGGGATCAGAACAGGGAACAAATTAGAACATCCTGTAATGAGAAAGAAGGCTTTGATCCCATCGACCTTCTTTTTTTTTTTTTTTCAAACTGACTCTCTGAACTGGGTTTAGAAATTGTAATCCAACTCCCTATTTGTTGGGGTACATTGTGACATTAGAAATGTCTCCCAGCATCCTGCAAGCCAGGATTATGTTTTCCATTATGTTCCCTGGTGGCACCAGAAAGATCATCACTGCTAAGGCAGGTGGCAGTACCAGTACCAGAATCACCTTTAACCCCACACCCCATTCCCTCAACAGAGAGCCTGGGTCCATGGACGCCTGTCCCTCACCTTTGACCCCATCCCCCATTCCCTCAACAGGGAGCTTGACCCATCCCTCAGGCTATCACTTGAATCATAAGAGTCCCCCAAAGCTTGCTCCAAGGTGGTGTTATTTATTGGGAGGTGATGGAAATTTTGAGAAGTAGGGCCTAGTGCACAGTAGTCCTTAGGTCATTGAGGGTGTGCCCTCCAAGGGGATTGTGGGAACCCAGCTCCTTCCTCTTCCCATGTGTTGTCTCCCGTCAGTGAGGGGAGTGGTCCTTCTGTACCACAGGCTGCCACCATGAGGTGCCACCTCACCACATGCCCAAAGCAATGGGGGCCATTTGACCATGGGCTGGCACCTTCCAGACTGTGAACCCAGATAAACCTTTTCTCTTTATAAATTAATTATCTTGGCTACTTTGTTATAGTGATGGACATGGACGATATCTTGTTATGGTGATGGAAAACTGAAAAACACATTTGGTCTCCTTAGCAGATGGGACCAGGTTTCTGAGGTTGCTCCTTAGACCCCAACTGCAGAGGTTGAACAGCCAAAACAAAAACACGGCCTGGGTGGTGCTTAATTTCAGGTTCTTGTCAGCAGGAAGTGGAATGGAGCCAGCCCCTATGGACAGAAAATGGGTACTCACAGGGTGCCAGGCGGTCATGCAAAGTTCCACCTCCTTGCCCAGGCATTCAGGACCCTTCACAGTTGAACCACATTTGCCCACTGAGGCTTCTGCCTCTTCTTAAGGTGGCAAATAGATGGCTCTATACACATACAGCAGATTGTGAAGACCAAGGATACAGAAAAGGCACCGCTTCTGCCCTCAAGCAAATACTAGCATAAGGTCAACCACCCATCAGCGCACCTCGCCGCGGCTACCGGGAGTACCTGGCACAGGTGAGGCAGGCAGCAACCACAGTTTGACTCAAGTCTCCTCTTACTAGGTCCAAAAGCAAGATTTCACAAAATCCACACACTAATGTCAAGCAGAGCCCAGCCTAACTGTGTTGCAATCCCCAAAGACTGTGTCATTGAGTCCTCCAGTTTCTGTAATTAATGTCAGCTCATGGCTGAAGGCTGGAAAGCCTGATCTATAGCAGACCCAGGCACGACACTCCCAGTAACTAGGTTTCTCTTATGCTTTCTCCCAATGGGGGTTCCATGAGTAACACCTTCTTGCTCCCCATCTTGGGATCCTGGATTCTAGAGGGGTTAGAGAAACCTGGGACTGGTGGTCACGTAGCCTCATCAGGCACTGGGCAGGAAGGAACAGCACAGACTTCAAACAAAGCCAGGAGGAGGACATGGCCAGGAAGACCTGGGATCCCTGCCAGTTGGGAGTCTGGGAGCAGAGAAGCGGAGGATGGGAAGAGATGCGGTTAGGAAAGGCAAGAGGAAAATACTAAGGGGAAGGAAACTGGTGGGCAGATCTCCGTGCTGCCAGAGTGGGTTTCAATTCTTGGAACCAACAGGACAATGATAACAAAAGACACATGCTGGTGTGAAGCCACAGAAATGCCTGTGGGGTGAGTTCCTCCAGCTTTGCGGAGCCTCAGGCCTGGGGGTAAGTGAGGCAAGACCTGCCATGACACCCCTCTCACAGCCCTACCAAGAGTCACACCAATGGGTCCAATTTGGGTTTTCCGTACCACTTTTTTTTTCCTTTTTTTTTCTTCCCCCCCCCTTTTTTTTCCCATACCACTTTTACAAGTAAATCTTATGCACCAGAAATTTCTAATCATCTATGAAATATCCATTTTTCTTTCTCACTAATGGGACACCGGCCTACGAAGTCGCACTTCTCAATCACTCTTGCAGAAGGTGTTGGCTAGTTTCATTTTGGCAACCTGTCTCCCTTCCTCCTTTCTGTGAACTGGCATGTGGATTCGATAGCCAGAGCACCAGCAGCCATCTTATACCATGAAATGTTCTTGAGGATAATGTCTCCAACTAAGGATGGTGGAACAGAAAGGTGAGAGAAGGCCAGTCCAGGGTGTTTGTAGGGTCACTTACCAATGCTGGACTACCTTCTTCCAGATTTTTTTTTTCCTTTTGTAGGCGGGAAAAATAAATCCTTATGAATTTAAGCCACTGTTCTTTGGGGCTTTCTGTTATATGCAGCCAGCTTAGTCTTAGCTGATCACAACCTGTGGTTTCTTGGGACACCTGCCCTCTACCCTTTTCCCTAAATCTCCCCCACCCACTAGTCAATGATGTTTGACATTCATTCCTGCAAACATAGTAAACCA